GTCATCCCCGTGCTCCAGTGTGGGTGTGCACCGCCAACCCCGTGCTCCAGTGTGGGTGTGCACCGTCATCCCTGTGCTCCAGTGTGGGTGTGCACCGTCAACCCCTGTGCTCCAGTGTGGATGTGCACCGTCATCCCTGTGCTCCAGTGTGGGTGTGCACCGTCATCCCTGTGCTCCAGTGTGGGTGTGCGCCGTCATCCCTGTGCTCCAGTGTGTGTGTGCGCGGTCATCCCTGTGCTCCAGTGTGGGTGTGCGCCGTCATCCCTGTGCTCCAGTGTGTGTGTGCGCGGTCATCCCTGTGCTCCAGTGTGGGTGTGCACCGTCATCCCTGTGCTCCAGTGTGGGTGTGCACCGTCATCCCTGTGCTCCAGTGTGTGTGTGCGCGGTCATCCCTGTGCTCCAGTGTGTGTGTGCGCGGTCATCCCTGTGCTCCAGTGTGGGTGTGCACCGTCATCCCCGTGCTCCAGTGTGGGTGTGCACCGCCAACCCCGTGCTCCAGTGTGGGTGGGTACGTCCCAGTGTGGGGTGCGCCGTCATCCCTGTGCTCCAGTGTGGGTGGCGGCTGTGCCAGTGGGGTCACCGTCATCCCTGTGCTCCAGTGTGGGTGTGCACCGTCATCCCTGTGCTCCAGTGTGGTGTGCCGTACTGTCCATGGGGCCGCATCCCTGTGCTCCAGTGTGTGTGCGCGGCACCGGTGGGGGTGCACCGTCATCCCCTGGTGTGGGTGTGCACGCACCCGTGCTCCGTGTGGGTGTGCACCGTCATCCCTGTGCTCCAGTGTGGGTGTGCACCGTCATCCCTGTGCTCCAGTGTGGGTGTGCGCCGTCATCCCTGTGCTCCAGTGTGTGTGCGCGGTCATCCCTGTGCTCCAGTGTGGTGTGCACCGTCATCCCTGTGCTCCAGTGTGTGTGTGCCGTCATCCCTGTGCTCCAGTGTGGTGTGCACCGTCACCCTGTGCCAGGGGGTGGCCCGCATCCCTGTGCTCCAGTGTGTGTGTGCCGGTCATCCTGTGCTCCAGTGTGTGTGTGCCGGTCATCCCTGTGCTCCAGTGTGGGTGTGCACCGTCATCCCGTGCTCCAGTGTGGGTGTGCACCGCACCCGTGCTCCAGTGTGGGTGTGCACCGTCATCCCGTGCTCCAGTGTGGGTGTGCACCGTCACCCCTGTGCTCCAGTGTGGTGTGCACCGTCATCCCTGTGCTCCAGTGTGGGTGTGCACCGCCAACCCCGTGCTCCAGTGTGGGTGTGCACCGTCATCCCTGTGCTCCAGTGTGGGTGTGCACCGTCATCCCTGTGCTCCCTTGTGGGTGTGCGCCGTCATCCCTGTGCTCCAGTGTGGGTGTGCCCTCATCCTGTGCCGTGGTGTGCACCATCAATCCCTGTGCTCCAGTGTGTGTGTGCACCATCAACCCCTGTGCTCCAGTGTGGGTGTGTGCCGTCAACCCCTGTGCTCCAGTGTGGGTGTGCACCGTCATCCCTGTGCTCCAGTGTGTGTGTGCACTGTCATCCCTGTGCTCCAGTGTGTGTGTGCGCCGTCATCCCTGTGTTTCAGTGTGGTGTGCACCGCCAACCCCTGTGTTCCAGTGTGTGTGTGCACTGTCAATCCCTGTGCTCCAGTGTGGGTGTGCACCGTCATCCCTGTGCTCCAGTGTGGGTGTGCGCCGTCACCCCTGTGCTCCAGTGTGGGTGCGCACTGTCAATTCCTGTGCTCCAGTGTGTGTGTGCACCATCATCCCTGTGCTCCAGTGTGGGTGCGCACTGTCAATCCCTGTGTTCCAGTGTGTGTGTGCACCATCATCCCTGTGTTCCAGTGTGTGTGCGCACTGTCAATCCCTGTGTTCCAGTGTGTGTGCGCACTGTCAACCCCTGTGCTCCAGTGTGTGTGCGCACTGTCAATCCCTGTGTTCCAGTGTGTGTGCGCACTGTCAATCCCTGTGCTCCAGTGTGGGTGCGCACTGTCAATCCCTGTGCTCCAGTGTGTGTGTGCACCATCATCCTGTGTTCCGTGTGTGTGCGCACTGTCAATCCCTGTGTTCCAGTGTGTGTGTGCACCATCATCCCTGTGTTCCAGTGTGTGTGCGCACTGTCAATCCCTGTGTTCCAGTGTGTGTGCGCACTGTCAATCCCTGTGTTCCAGTGTGGGTGCGCACTGTCAATCCTTGTGTTCCAGTGTGGGTGTGCACGTCATCCCTGTGTCCGTGTGGGTGCACCGTCAATCCCTGTGTTCCAGTGTGTGTGCGCACCGTCAATCCCTGTGTTCCAGTGTGGGTGCGCACCGTCAATCCCTGTGTTCCAGTGTGGGTGTGCACTGTCATCCCTGTGTTCCAGTGTGGGTGTGCACTGTCAATCCCTGTGTTCCAGTGTGGGTGTGCACTGTCAATCCATGTGTTCCAGTGTGGGTGTGCACTGTCAATCCATGTGTTCCAGTGTGGGTGTGCACTGTCAATCCCTGTGTTCCAGTGTGGGTGTGCACTGTCAATCCCTGTGTTCCAGTGTGGGTGTG